ATATTGCCAAAGCTTTTTTGAAACTTTATCGCAGGGTTAGTAATTTTTACCCAATGACTAGGATTAAGAGGGGTGAAATAAATCCCTCTGGTGATAACCCAGAATGGAACTGCCTTTTCTCCTCACCTTTCACTGCTAAGGAATTTCAGAGAGGACTCCGTTGCTTGAAGAGAGGAAAGAGTGCTGGTCCTGATGGCATCCTCCCTGAATTTATTTTGGAACTAGGCGTTAAAGCTAAACAAACAATCCTTAATTTTATAAACAAAACTTGGGGTGGCACTTTCCCGAGCCTCTGGAGAAAGGCTGATGTTATACCTATTTTGAAACATGGAAAAGACCCGACGGACATCCAAAATTTTAGACCAATTTCCTTGACCTGTATCCTAAGTAAGCTAACTGAAAGAATGGTCGTTGATCGGCTTCAGTTCTTTTTGGACTATGGTGGCCATATCTCTGAGAGACAGGCTGGTTTCAGACGTGGATACAATACAACGGAACAGATCGTCAGACTTTCACAGCATATTAAGGACGGCTTCCAGAGGAAGCAAAGTACACTTGCTGTCTTCGTTGATTTTAAATCGGCGTTTGACAGAGTTTGGAGAAAATTGCTTCTTAGGAAGTTGCTTCATAAGAAAGTGTATGGAAATCTTTTTAAGTGGATTAGTGATTTTCTTTCACAAAGATTTTTGAACATTAAATATGGCAATTCTCAGTCAGGGTATGGGCAAACCAGACAGGGCCTTCCACAGGGCTCAGTTTTAAGTCCTGTCCTCTTTAATATTATGGTAAATGACCTTTTGAGCCACATTAAAAATGCTGTTCCAGAGACTGAATCATTGTTGTATGCCGATGACCTTGTTATTTGGTCTACTGGCTCTGATATCTCTATGCTGGAGAAAACACTCAATTTGGCTTTAGAGGCTCTGGCAACCTGGACCCTGGACAACGAATTCAAGGTTAACCCGGAAAAGACAAATTTTGAACTTTTTACCCTTAGTACCAAAAAGTTTAATGTTAACTTGGTATACAAAAATAGTACTCTGGGTCGGACCGATTGTGCTACCTACTTGGGCATAACTCTTGATACCAGACTGACCTGGACTAAATACATAAATCAAGTGGCAGATAGCGTGACAAATCGCCTTGGTCTATTGAAACGTCTCGCTGGAATAAAGTGGGGTTCATCCCAAAGTGTCCTTGCTTCCACTTTTACTTCTTACATTAAACCAGTATTTGACTATGGTTCAGAAATCCTTGTTACTGCCTCGGACAGTGCGTTATCAAAACTCGATTTGGTTCAAAACAAAGCACTAAGGCTCATCACTGGTTCTGCGATCTCAACCCCTATTTCTGCCATGCAGCTACAGACAGAAATTTATAATTTATCTGACAAACGAACTTATGCTGTCCTTTCTCTTGGTGAAAGATTGTTGAGAAAGGAGCACTTTTGGCCGTACTACAATCTTCCTCAAACTAGACTTAAATCTCAACATTCCTTTCTTTTTGAGTACCGGAGACTTGCAGAGATCTTTGAGGTCTCCAACTCCAAACTTTGCATCTATAGGCCACCTGTTTTTACGGGCCTTCTGAGATATGCCACTGCCAGATTTGACTTGGTACTGCCTGTTCGGAAATCGGACTTCCACCAGACCGAGTTGTATCCTATTGCTCTGGCCACTATACACGAGAGATACCCTTACGAGCAATGGCTGCAGGTTTTTACTGATGGATCCGCCACTTTTTCAACTGGTAGAGCTGGAGCTGGTGCTTACTCCAAATATTTCAGCCTTAGAGAACCTCTTGACACTTGGGCAGATAATTTTGATGGAAAAATGTTTGCAATCCTTATGGCTATTACAGCTATTGGTGAACCATCTGAACAAAACATTGTTATCTTTGTCGATTCTCAGGCTGCTATTCAGACCATTTCTGAATGTAATTTATATCCCTCTGAATTCGAATTTAAGTGTAAACAACGCATTGACTCTCTTCTTTGTTCTGGAAGAGAGGCAGTCCTCCAGTGAATCCCCGGCCACTGTGGCATTTACGGAAATGAACGGGCTGACATGTTGGCTAGAGAGGCTTCAGCACTGCATCCATCGTCTCATCCAGTTCCCCTAAGAAATGCAGGCTTCTTAAGAGCAAATGCAGGCACAGAACAATATCTGCTCTTAGGGACTTAGCTGATGGAAAATCCTGGGCTAGCCTTCTTGATAACCAGCTGTGCTCTCACCTTTCCCTCCTTCCCAGAGCTGAGGGAGTTGCTTGCCTTAGATTAATTACCGGACATGACTACTTACAGGCCCATTTATTTAAAATTAACTTGGTCAATTCACCTCTTTGTGTGCTCTGTAGCACTTCGCCAATGACTGGGGAGCATTTATTAGATTGCCCCTCTCTTCTTGACATTCGTTCCTCTGATGACTTCTGTGCCCTCTCACCTTCTGGAGCTACTTCAGTATTGTATTGGCTGCAAGACGCCTTATGTCTGAGAAGACGATGGCGGACGTAATTTTAAAAAAAAAAAATATCTGACTCAATTTTAAACAAAATAATTTTTTATTTCCTCAGAAAAACAGTAAATGTATTTCGAACATAATATCTTTTGAGGTATAATATTTAACAGATAACAGATAGCAAACAAATAAATAACAATCTAATAATTAAAATTTTTTTTAAAATAGATCATTAATCGCAAAGCATGATTTTTTAAATTTTATGAATAAAATTCACTATGCCTAATTTTTAAATCGTGTGTGTATAAATCGCTATCTGTTACACGTAAATAAAATAATCATGAAACGTGAAGAAAACCTTGAAAATTGTGTAAATTACCTGTGATACATAATACATTACAAGTCATACATTAATGTATGACATGCAACATCTGTCTCGTAAATTGAAACAATATGAATAGCAAATGATTCTGTTTGAAAAATGCACTTAGTCACAAGTCAGAAATAGTGATCAATGATATATAAACTACTTTAAAGCGAATCATGTTGCATGATTCTTTAATTACTTTAATGCAAAACACAATGCTTGATTTGCTTATCTTTTGTGCAAAAATCAATGTATAATATGGTAGTCATTGGAATACAAAATGCGATTTGTAATATAATAATAATGCAATTTGAGATTTCAATAATTTCACTATGTATTATATCACTGTGTTGTATGTCACTTCAAGTAATTTCACTGTTTATAAATCACTATGATGAGAATCGCAAACAGTAATTCTTAAATCCCACTTATGCTAGTTATGCTAATTTTTCCGTCAATACACAAACAAGCACTATACAAAATTATAGAATACTAAGATATGTGGGTATTTTTGAGTTACTATTGTTTGAGTTACTATTGTTACTGTTGTTAAAAAAAAAAAAACTAGGGAATTTACAGAATTGAGAAATCATAAGGGTTGAATAATATGAAAATCTGGTTAGCATACTGATTCTACACTATGGTAATGAATTACATTTTAGGTGGATGAAGTTAGTTAGTTTATTTAAAAGGGTTTTACTACAAATAATTTGTTTCTTCAGGCAAGGATATTTTGTTCCACAGGAATTTTAAAGTGATAGGATTCTGTTGACAGGCATTTTGTAGCATAGTGTAGTGGAGAACCGATTTCTCCACAACTACAAAGTTTATGTCTTGACAGCTCAAATTCTACATTGATTTACGACAAAAACAGTGCAAAATCCTACTAACATGGTTGAAAATCAAAATGCTCATGTACGCAATTATTGAATTATGTGTTGTAATACTTATGATTTAGAAATATTGAGATTTTAAAATTTATTTTTTAAAAAAAATATGGTATAACTAGCAAAAAAAGCAGTCAGAAAAATAATGTGAATTCACTGCAAAATCGGCGCAAATCAAATATGTGAATAAAAAGTTATTCAAATGATCAACCTGTGTAATATCTGATATAAATGTAGCAGGATTTCTAAAACCATGCAGAAATCTGCTATAATAAATGTTGAAAACCACAAGATTTATGATGAAATAGGTGATGGGTAAATCATTGTCAATTCAATAAGTATACGTGATTTGAGGCGTGACAGCTTTGATTTAAAAACATTTATTTTTTAAGATTACATAATTATCTATGGGTATAACTAGCAAAAAGCCAGGTAGAAAAACAATGAGAATTCACGATGAAATCGAAGCAAATCAAACACACACATCAAAGAGTTATCAATTCCAAGAACACTTATGTGATAATATTCTATTAAAAATATCAAGATTACTGAAAACTGTAAAAATAATTTCTGAAAATACTATTCTGTTTATCTGTATTCTATTCTACTGATTCGTAAAAAATTGATCGGTAAAAATAATTGCTGAAAAACTAAATGGATTTATAATGAAAATCCAACTCGCCAAAAGATGATGAAAGTTTTGAATGTGAAATTCAAAATTTCCGTGACGCACTTTTTTTTAATTAATAAAATAGATAAACATGTTTGATACAATTATCTTTATCAGACACATGTTTACATGGAACAAAAGAAAAATGTTCTTATTCACAGCTATTATGAAATTTTTGTGTAATGTTAGTGATTTTTTAATTGTTTCTTTCTTCAGCTCGCGGAAACTCGGAAGTTTTGACTAAGTTTCGTCCCAACTTATAAATTTGCATAAAAAACTGCTATAATCAACCTTATTACATGCAATTGCAGGTTCTTAGATAAGAAACATATTTAATTGTAAAAACACAATATCCTGTTGATTACACATAGATTTTAAACATTTATAATTTTTTTTTAAAATTTTATATTCCATTATGTTGTAATAAGAAATTCATTCTTTTGTACTAAGCATTCCAAAAGTAACTATTTCAAGAAAAACAAAACAAGAAATAGGGAAGGTAATAATATTTGAATATGCTACCTGAAATTCTAACCAGTTAAAAACATTTTTAAATTCTTAAAGGAGTCATAATAGTATTTATGAAGAAAGCCGTTCAATGAAAATTATGCCTAACTTACAACTTCTTGATGTCGAGGAGGTTTGTAAACAATCATCCAGAAATATGTGACTATTCCTAACACAACAGCTCTTAGCATGACAACTCTAAAAAATAAAAAAATACTTTTAAAGTTAACAAACAAAGAGAAGAAAAAGTTTTTAGCATAATTTAATAGTTTTTTTTCTCCAAAAAAATGAATTTTTATTCTCCAGTTATTTGACTTCATCTAAATTTACCACTAACCAAACATGTATAGTATACACAAATGTTGCTTGTGGAAAATTTGTCTCCATCATGGAAAATTTTTAGAATTACATTAAAAATAAAAAATGGTCAAAATTCCCCTATTTCATGTCACAGTAAATATTTTTTTGGACTTTATGGATAATATTATAGTATTCATCATTATAAACGAAAAACAGTCCCCCAATCTTCACATACAGTCAAAATCTTTAAGCAGAGCAGAAAATTTTCGAAATTACTCATTCAAAAAAAGTCAAAACTGGCAGATCAATTTTGCAGACTGATATATTAACTTTTTTTTCTGCTTTGCAAAAGGCATTCTTTTCCCAACTTGTATTTGACTTTTAAGTATGCTGGTATTTATAATATTCAACATGAAGTTTTTAAAAAATAAAAAGATTTTTTTAAAAAATAAGTGATTTTTAAACAAATAACACCAAAATAGCTCTGTAACATAACTTTGTTACTAACATAATTTCAAAGATAATTGAAGTTTTTATTGCCAAATTTTTCTTAATTTCTTTGTCCTAAATTTCGGAAGGCATATTTCGTTAGAGTTTGCAATTTTGCTAACTTCTCAGCAGTGTCCATGAATTGTTGAATTTCTCTTGCATATTAATTACTTATAATTCTTCGAAAAATTATTTATAGTTTTTATCTATAGTTTGAACATAACACAATTTGTGAATTCATTCATGGATAATGTCTTTTTAACACTTTCTATTAATTTGTGAAGATCTTATGAATGGTCTATTTATTTTCTTTAAAATAAATTCTATTCCTTCATACACTTGAAAAGATTTTTTCTTAAGGTCTTCAAATAATGGATCAGTTTGTTTGTCCACCAATATGTAAAGGAAAAGGTGGCACTTCCAGCAGTAAAATTAAACAAGATAGTAAAAAAAGATAAGTATGCACTCAAAATTTAAATGCTAGATTTGAAAGTTGAAATATTCATATTCCTGTTCCCAAGAGAGTGAATGAATTAAAAAGTTTAGTATAACCATCAGAAGAAATTAATGTTTCAGTTCATACATTCAAATGGTTGTACAGTGCGTAAAAAAAGGATTTTCCTGAATAACTTTTGATCTTCACGTATCAGAACTCAATCTTAATGGTTCAAGGGGGTGACCTCAAATATGCTAATTAATTAGTGCAGACAATATTTTAGGTTACGAAACACTAAAACGCACTTTCTCCGAATAAATATTCTTTTTTAATGGATTTAGATTTCTGATCCCTAAAATATAGGAGGTAGCTGCAATCTGGGAAATATGGTCCCCATAGTTTGGACCCCTTAAAGTTAATTTTACTTTTTATGCATTTTGCTATATCTCGAGAAGTTTCTAAATAAATTAAAAAATATTAGCACACATTTATGATGATTAGCTCTTAAACAATCATGTGGTTCAGTTGTTTATTACCACCATTTGAACAGCAAACATAAAAAAGAGTAATAGCTTGATTATAGAATAATAATTAAAAAGAAAACAAAGGAATAAAACCTTATCATTGTGAAATATAGCCTCGTCTTATTGGACACATAAGCTTCAAATGTTGTAGCAAATTTCAACAAATAATAGAAGATACTGGAGATGAGAATGACTGTAATAGCAAAAGTCATGTGCTGAAGTATTGGTATATCAACCTGCAACCAAATAAAACAATGAATGATCACAGCAACTAGGAACAACCAGGCTATTCCGGCCCTCTGAAAATAATTCTTAGTGGAAGTGAATTAAGACAGTGATCTTTATTTAGAAGAAACTATAACTTATTTTAAACATGACCAGCACTTAGAGAGATTACTAATGGTTTAACTGTCTTTTAAATTTCAATATATATATATATACAGTGAAACCTCCTGTTATGGACACTCCTGCAAAACGGACGCCTCTCAATATGGACATATTTTTAATTCCCCCAAAATCTTCTATGAATAAACCATTATGTACATTCTCCGCAAAGCGGACACTCCCGAAACCGGACAGTCATTTTGGCCCTGAAACGTTATTTTTTATCTCTTCAAACCGGACACTACTTTTTATAAATTTGAAAGGAAAAAAAATTTGCTTTAAATTGCAAGAAAAAATTCAACTTTTCACCATTTTTATAGCATATAAATTTTTTGCCTTATCCATAACTAAAAATATTGTTAAGCTATTTCAATACTGAAGAATCAATCTTTCTCCTGTCACCTTGCCTTATCTTTGTAAAGAAAGGAGAGAAAATGATACTTTTCTTTTTCTAAAATTTTATTTCCAATGAGATGCTGCTTCCAATGAGATTTCCAATGAGACGTTTAGTTTCTGCCACACTAGATGGCAGCACCGAGACTCTAATTGGATGCTAAAGTGCACTAGGAATTTAATTTTGCCGGAAATGCCAAGAGCCAATAAGGCACTCCAGGGATCTTTTACATGCCGCATTATCATACGACATGGCTGCTGAGGATTTTCTGCACCCCGAAAATCCGGTGTCTGGGCCGGGGATTGAACCCGCAGACTTGGGCTCAGAAGGCCGACGACAAACCAACTGCGCCACCCAGCCACTGCACAGAGAAAATGATACTGCCCTCCTGAAATAATTCGGACCCTGGCATCTTTTGATCTGGACCACACAGGTTATGAGACCCCCCCAAGCTGAAATGACATGTTAAATGCTCTCAATGCTTCTTCCCCATTTAAAAATTCTTTAATTTTCTTATCAATTTGAAGACTGTGTTTAACACAGCTGGAGCAAAAAAAAGAGAAAAGAAGTATAATCTTTAAGGTGTTCATATAAATGAAACATTTATTGGGACACTTGATAGCTCATCAATTGCGAATAATCAACTCCATAAGTCCTCATGACTTACAGGTACGCATTTGCCTTTTTGGTCTTCAGTGAATCGTGGGAGGTTTACATTCAAGAAAGTATTAATCATGTTTCCTATAAAATTATAGGTAAGTGTAAGGGGATGTAAACTCAATAATTGATTTCGACAGAGGACTGAAAGCTCCTGTTTGGTATCATATGTCTAACTTGAATGTCTATGCTAATAGGAAAATTATATTCATTTATCTGTATCTATATCTAGAATTATGTATTTATGTCAAACTTCTTTATTTATTCTTTTTTTATCTTTCTTAAAGTTTAAACGTAAATAATATGTAGAGTGATGCAGAATGCAAGGTGACAGGCACAGAACAAGAAGAAAAAACTACAATTTCTACCATTTTAACTAATTTTATTGAAATAGTTTAAATTATGAAAGAAAATTAATAGTACTTTTAATAGTTGAAATTGCAACGTATCTAGTAGTAATAATTTTTAATGAGGCTCACAAAGAGTTATCGGTAGTTATAAGCCTAGCAGCCATAGAATAAGCTCAAAATGAAAATGACTGCAAAATATCCGCTGCTATTCTAAAAAAACGTATCAGACATTACATGGGGTATTTTAAACGTCAGTCACATAAATAGATCAATAAGAAGACTAGCACTGGTGACCGCTGAAAAAAAGCAAAATATGGGTTCTGTATGATAGTTAGTTGCAAATTTTTGTTTATTTATATGGATTATTGCTCAAAAAACTTGAAACGCAATTTCCATGTCTCTCTTACCCCATGTATTACTAACTAGCACTATTTCCAGGGTTCACACAGAGATCAGAAGAGGAAATCCAAGGAGTCCAAAATTTTAAGGACTTAACAAAAATTAAAAAACTTTGTGTAAAAGATTAGTTTGTTTTTTTAAAAATTAAAAAGCAGTTATTATAAGGAACTCGCAAAAATGTATAGTTTGCATATTTTTTTTAGGCCTTTTGAAAAAAAAATTGACTTTATTTTTTTTTGATGAAGGTTGATAAAGTAGTCAATTTTACACATAAATACATTTTCCAGTTTCAAATATTTTAACAAATCTTGTTAAAGTACAGATGTTAAAGATTAATATAAAAACCTACCAATCCTATATTTTTAAATTTGAATACATAAGAAATCTAGGGCATTTTATACAACAACAAAAAAAATCACAGTAACTTTCAAGGAACATTGCTATAAATACTAATTGATATATTAGAGTTCCTTGTTAACAGGGAATGCGGAATGGGATTCATTTACCATAAACATCAATTTGAACGGAATCTGACGTAATGAATAAATCATAGGCAAATTTGTTTGATGAGTTTTAATCAGGGAGGTGGATTGTGTTTGCAAAATTAATAAAATCTATATAATTAAAAATCATTAAGTAATCAATAAATCCTGATGGAAATAATTTCCCTCATAGAAATGTAAAAATAGGCTTCAAAAATTGGTATTTTGTGGTATGCCTACAATCTGTAGAAAAATACCCTCACCGTTAAAGATAAAATTGTTAAAAATACAAAAATCAACAATGTTTTCCCAATATTCAAAATTGACATCTAAAATATTATTGAAATCATACAAATATGAAAAAAGATCATCTTCTAGTTTGTCCAGTGGAACTTGTAAAAAGGTCCTTGAAATCAAAAGATGTGCAAGGGAATTATTTTAAATACAGTTATTTACTGGATTATTGTTTTTAATAATCCCTATAAATCCTGAATCATAGCCACATAGATATAAAGCGCTTTAATTTTATGAACTTTAAAATATGAACATTGAATATGAACTTTAAAATCATTTATATGTAGTGGGGTGGAAAATAAGTTTAAATGAAATAAAATAAAAAAAAATTAATATATACATTTAAGCATCACTAGAATAAATTTTTACAAAAAGCATAGAAAGTTGGCAGCTCTGCCTTTGTAAATATTCATTGTCATGAAAGTTAGATTTAGTAAACTGTCACTCAGATCACCAAGAGTTTCTCTGGCAGGAAAAAATATATAAAAAAAATAACAGGGTGGTCACTCAAAACAGATTTCAAATTTCCCTGATTTTTCCAGGTTTTCCAGGTAAAAATCTTAAAATTTCCAGGTTTGGGTTTTTTTTTCCTTTTTTCTTATAAAGTGTAGGATGTGTACAAGAAAAGTGTCTGTAGTATTATAAAATATCTTATTCAAAATATCATTTTTTTAAACATATCTTGAAAAAAATTAATTTTTTTACAAGATATTTTGTTATTATTTTTTAATGTTCTGGTACAACATTAATTTTTAAAAAATTATGACGTGGAGAAAATAATATGTTTAGCTTGCAGAATATATTGTTTTTATTGAATAATTTTAATTGTTTTTATTGAATTTAATGTGTTACTTTAAGTAGTATTTGCTCAAAGTGTACCTACAAAATGACAAAATCAGAATAACCAATAAAACCTTGGATAAGTATTGTTTAATATATTTTCATTAAGGAAAAGAAAACCGTTTCAGGTGATTATATATCAATAATTTTTAATAATTACAGTGACTCCCAAAAGTGCTCACTCACTTATAACTTATATTGAAATAGGAAATAAAAATTCAATAATTAAAATGAATATTTCACAATGGGTATTTGATAATAAGATGTATAATCTATTCTTAGCAAAACTGCACGGAATATTTTAAAAACAAAGCAAAAGTTAATTTTTTAATCAAATAGTAACAAAAATGTTACCCCACGAAAGTCATCGTACATTTAAATGTTTTGGATCTCAGAATTAAAATTATCGTCAATTGCTTTTTTTATTTAATTATTTTTCATTTAATTTTTTATTTCTTTATTAGCAATTTAGTATCAAACCTATAATAGCAAAATTATATTTTAATTTTTGCTTGCTAACTCCGTAATATTTTATTTTATCATTTAAAAATGACTTGTGGTCGTAATAAAATAGACCAAATTTGATTATTTGTCTTCATAAGAGGTAAATCAGTAATGAATATGTTAAATTAGTTTACTGTATTCAATTGAACTGTGCAATATGTGATAAAATGCTTAAAAGAAGGACTTCATATCAGAGATTAAAATTATAAATTTTGTGGAAAAATTCATAAATTTGCAATTGAGTGTTGTAAAAGTTTCTGTAAAAATTTTAAAAAAATATTCTGCACGAATTTCACCTGACAAAAAAAAAAAAGTTACACGTATTTTCAACCTTTAAAAGCTATTGTAGATGCTAAAGGAAACTCCACTAAATGTTAATTTAACGAAAAATTAGATTTACTAATAGACTGAGTTTTTTCTTTAAAAGTGTATGATGACTTTTGTGGGATAAAGTTTTTGTCACTTTTTGATGATTGATTCCTTAAAAATAAACTTTTCCTTCGTTTTTAAAATATTTCATATTGTCATTTAAAATATTTCAGTTTTGTTAAGATTAGAACACATTTTTTATCATTAAATATACATTCTGAAACATTTATTTTAATTAATGGATAGTCTTATTTCATTGAAAGTCATAAGTGTATCAACACTTTTGTGAATCACTGTAATTACATTTCAATATAAAGCTGTACTGTATACTGCATTTCATCTTACCAGTGCTTTTTATAAAATTCACTGATCATATTTTCCTTAAACCAATATCTCAAGTCAAATTTTTAAATAATGGTATTTTGAAATAGCATTTTTCTTTTAAGAAATTCAGTATAAAAAAATAAATGCCAGAAATGTAAAATTGTCTAATTTTTAGTTCTATACTCTATAGAAGAAAAATTTCTTTTTAGAGAATTTAATAAAGTTAAAAGTAAAAAAACATTTTGACTCATTTTGTCAAAATAGAAAAAAATTACCACTCTCAATTACGAACAACTTGACAGAATTTAAAAACCGAATCCTAACCCCGTCTTCCACATCCACCATAATCTTTGCCTTTCCTAAAATGCACAGTCTGCATAGAGATCAAAGGTTTCTACATTTGCTTAGCAACCATGGGAGAATTTTATGTTGTATTCTAGTTTAACAGGGTTATAATGGAGCAAATTTTGATGAAAGCAAAGTAAGTTGATTATATTTTAACTGTTTGGAGATACATTTCCACCTAAAAAATGTGGGTATAATGGATGAAACAATTTAAATTAAGAAAATTAGCAAATAATTTAAATTAGTGAAATTAAAAAAATATCTAAGAAAAAATTTCCAGATTTTCTTTAAAATTTCCAGCTTTTCATCCATATTTCCCTGATTTTTCCAGTATAAAAAAAATTCCCTGATAATTCCAGGTTTTCCAGGTGGGTGGCCACCCTGATATACTAAAAATTTACCTAAGTTAGTAGAACTTTCAAACCATTAAACAATGATTTCTATAAGAATGACCTCATAAATTGCTCAAAAAATCTCTACAGCATAATTACACTAGCTTCAAATGAAATTCAGGAACAAACCTTGAGAGCTTTTCTTTCAAGCAAAAAGTAAGTGAGGTATCCGACACCTCCTATAACTGCTAACGAGAAGAGGGATACACAAACAAATGACACTTTCTGCAGAACATTCTGAGAAAGGGTGATAGTTTTTTCTGACAAGCGTTTCATATACAAAAGCTCCTGAAAAAATAAAAATCAATTTAAAACATAACTAATAAATATTAAAAAGATAATTTGCAGATTTTTTCCCAATTGAATCACACAGAAGGTAGTTTTAATATAGAAAATAGTTATTTAGGAAGACATGCGAGCATTTATCAAAATAAAAAGCATATTATGCATAAAAATTCCTAAGTATAAAATAAACTAAGATTGAAAAAAAAAAATTAATTTTTATAATTAGATTTTATTAGCTGCACATGAGCAGCAAGGACATAGAACCCTTAATCTAAGAAAATCACCCAAAGAAAACAAGAAACAAAAAATAAAATATAAAAAAATTAATGAGAAAACAAAAATATTTTAACAAAAATTTCTGAAATACAGTGGAACCACTTTAAAAAGTTTTCCCGCGAATGAAGTTATTTGTCAAAAAAACCAAATACCATAATGTTAAATTTACCTTCATAAGAAGTTTTTTTCCCATTTAAAAAGTTTTCACTTCCTTCCAATTCTCTCTTTTTTTTTTAACTTTATATTTAAAATGTCTTATCTAGTTATAACTTTCTGTCACAAAAACAGGCATGTGAACTATGCAAAATCAACAAAGACCACTGACCTTCCTCCCTTCTCCATTACAAAAAAGGTGATTTATCAGGAACAGGTATGAGCAAAGGAATGTAAACCCTTTGATGAACAATGAAACTGATAAGAATATGGGGAACAGCTTGGTCTGATGACTCATGCACTACACTGCTGTCCTCACCCATTCAATGACTGATGTGAAAGATACATCTAAGCATTTAGCAGCATTTTGCTGGAAATTTTCCTAGCATTTTTGATTTTTATCTTAAATAATGCAGAATTTTTTTGATTTTTGTTGAAAACGTCCTGTAAAATCATTAAAACGTAAAGCACTATCTATTGAGGATAAAGTAAAAATTTTAAAAGCTGTTGACAGCTATTCTCAATTAACAAGGGTTCAAACAGCAAAAAATTTTAATCTTCCTGTTACTACGTTAAATGGCATTATTGCTAAGAAGGACATCATTTTAAACTCTTCTTGCTCCAGTGCATCCCAGAAAATAAAAAAAGTGAAAAGAGAAAAATACGAAGATATTGAAGAAAAAGTGATGATATAGTTTATACAAGCAAGATCCGCGAATATTCCTGTCAACGGAACTCTTTTCAGAGAAAAAGTATTGAAGATTGCTCAAAAATTGAACGTTGATTTCACGCCTTCCAATGGATGGATTGATCGGATGAAGAAACGAGCTGGATTAGTTTATAAAACAATTAAATGAGATTGTAACAGCGTTGATTTGCAAGAAGTTGAAGAATGGAAAGCTAAATTATCTGAACTTATTTCAGTTCATCCATCGAAGGACATTTTTAACATGGATGAATGTGAACTGTTTTTCAATCTTTTACCCAATAAAAAGTATGCCTTTAAAGGTCAGGAAAAAACAGTAAAGAAAGTTTGACAATTTTAGTTGAGGCCGTCAGTATGAATGGTATAAAAAAATTACCAATTTTAGTTATTGGTAAATCGAAAAAATCTTGATGCTTTCGAAATTTTAAGTTGCTGCCTTGTGATTATGACAGTAATCAAAAATCCAGGATGGCAATCGCAATTTTCGAAGCCTATTTGAAAAAGTTAGTACAGTAAGATGCAGAAAGAAACACAAAACATCATAATCTTAGTAGACAACTGCGCTGCTCATTCCAAAGAGAATCATCAGGTTGCAGTTTTTACCACCAAACCCTACTTCTGTGCTACAACCGATGGATCAGAGAGTTATCAAGGTATTTAAGCAGCATTATAAAATGCGACTCATCAAAGGGTTCACATTCCTTTGCTCATACCCGTTCCTGATAAATCACCTTTTTTGTAATGGAGGAGGGAGGAAGGTCAGTGGTCTTTGTTGATTTTGCATAGTTCACATGCCTGTTTTTGTGACAGAAAGTTAAAACGAGATAAGACATTTTAAATATAAAGTAAAAAAAAAAAAAGAGAGAATTGGAAGGAATTGAAAATACAGGAAAGCTAAAAAAGTCAATGTTTTAGAAGCTATTGAGTTTATTGTATCAGCATGGGAATTCATAATACATTCTGGAATTGCTAATTGTTTTCAAAAAGCTGGATTCTGACGGAGATACAACTGAAGAGTATGATTTTGAAGCTGAATATGAAATGTCAGATGAAGAAAAAACGAAAAGTTTAATAATGATTGGAAGTTCCTCCAAAATAAACTTAATTTCACTGCATCGTTTAAAGAATATGTATCAGTTAATGACGAAATCTTACCTTGTGATGTGCTTACAATTACATTAGAGGATATTTGTGACGTTACAAATGAAACAGAAGAACTGAGTGAAACTGAAGAAGATATTGTTAAACCTCCTAATTTTTCTGATGCCAGTAAAGGATGGGTTACTTTTCGAACATTTATTTACAGTGTTGGAAATGTGCTCCCGGAAATGTTGAAATATTTACAACAGTTGGACAATTTTAACTTAAAGGTCGGTGAGAAAAAAACAAAAACAAACAGCTTTACTTAATTTTTTCTCGCAAAAAGACTAGGCAATAATTGTAAAAATGTGTAAAATTTTAAATAACATTGTATAAAATAAAAAATAAGGTAGTTAACTTTGTTTTATTTATTAGCAAGTTTTTTCTAAATGAATAGTAAAATTAATTATTCATTCCATTATGATGATTTTGTAATATAAGTTACACAATGTAAAAATTTTTTAGTTTTTAATTTGTGTGTTTTTAAACTTTACCGTTTAAGAAGTTTTCCCGTTTAATAAGTCATTTTTTCCACTCCCTTGAAAAACTTCTTAAGTGGGTTCCACTGTATTATCATGAAAAGATTTAGCTTCTTTTTCAATCCAAACAGTTACATCAGGAAATATTATATGCTTTTTAATATTGTAAGCAAATTCCAAAGCAAAATATATAAATACAATATAGTGGGAGGGGCATCTGAGAGAGAGAGAGAGAGACCAAATTATTAACACAATTTAATCAAATAAAACAATATAAAAAATAAAACACACAAAAATATAAATAAATATTTAAAGCATAGGATGCCCAGTGGCTGAGCGATAGCGCATCACGCTGCCGTGCCACAGGTCCCTGGTTCGATCCCCGCCCGGGCAAAGTTGACTCAGCCTTTCATCCCTTCTGTCGGTCGATAAATGAGTACCAAGCATGCTTGGGAAGTAAACACTGGGGGTTTCGCATTCGGCTGACCACCTAACCGGAACATCTGCTCCTGCACTCCAGAGCCCAAAGGTCAAGAAAACTGAGATGGACACTTGGCCCTCTGTGGGCTGTCGCGCCGCTGAGTTTAGTTTTAGTTTTTATATAAAGCAGAGTGTCAACCAGGTGCCAAGGGGGGGAAAAATTCATGACCTTAAAACAAATTTTCATGAATTTCTTCACGGAATTTTGCTTTTAAATTTGCTTGTTTTTAGAAATTATTCAGTTTATGTTATTCAATACCCTTTATATCCATGTGATTAGTAAAATATAAAAAACAACAGAAATTTTTCAATGGACTATATGCTGCTGTTTTACAGGGTGAAATGTTGGTGACATGCTTTTCTGAAACATACATCATCCGGGCATATGGAATATTATTATGTTAAAATATTTTCAAGTACTGTTATTTTTCTATTGAATTTGACACTCTGTACATAACAATTTGGCAGTAAAAATTCAAGTAAGTCCGGTAATAGATTTAGAATAACAGTTTTAAATTATCATCTCTTCTTTAACTTTTTTAATAATAAATGTATGTCAAGAAAAAACAAAGAAAAAAGAGTTTAGAATTAATTCTTATAAAAAATCCATACAATTACTTACATCTCTTCTTCAAATTTTATAATATTAAAAGTATGTCAAGAGAAAACAAAGAAAAAAGAGACAAGAATTAATTCGTATAAAAAATCTATACAATTATTTACATAAAACTTATAATTGCAAAAATAAGATTTTGTTTGTAAGGCTGGGAAAAAAATTACCAATTTTCTACTGTTTCTCAGCTTTATTATTCTTCACTATTGGTTAGGAGAAGCATATACGAAAAATTCTTTTAATTTACTCTAGCGGTAAAATAACTTGGGCCCTCATTGGATAAGGTTTCAAAGGGCTGTTATTTTCGGATTGTAGAAAATTTATATTTTGAATTAATAGATGGCGTTGCAAACTTCTAATGTGTACTTTGTGTTTTGTTGTTATCAAAGAATATGAATCCTTACCTCTCTGATGCTTTTTTAACAAGGTGCTGAAAACCCCAAGAAGATGATTGAAAATATTTATTACTGAAGAGGGGTTCGTTTGAATTTGATTTTGAACTTAATATTACAATTATTTCTTTTATTCTTTATTCAATTATTTGCTCTGAATTCGAAAATGTCAACTGAACTTTAAAAACGGAAGCAGAAAAGAGGTGCGGTCTGAGCATTGACGACTAGATTGTTTGGCGAAATCGAAAATGAAATAAAAAATGAAATTCTGAACATTGAAACTTTAGATGAATTACTGGCTAAACTTATTGAAAAGGAATCTTTATTGAAGGAACTGGATTTGAAAATTGAAGATTTGATTGATGCTGACAAAATTGAAAAGGAATACCAACAATCGGAAGAATATTCTGATAAGATTATTGTTTTAAAAACGAGGATTTCAAGAATTTTATCTTTGTTGAGTGCTAAGTTGGATATGGAAAACCGTAAGAACGATAACAAAAGTATTTCAACCGAAATTATTTCTGAAGAATTTCAAAATGTTCATCGAAAAATCGTGATCGAAAAATTCTACGGTGATGTTAAACTATGGAATAACTTCTGGGAACAATTTAAATAGACTATTCACGAAAATAAGACATTGAAAACTGTCTATAAGTTTGTGTATTTAAAGTTACATCTTGGCGGAGCTGCTGCAAGAACTGTGAATGGACTTTCGATTTGTGATTCTAATTATCTTGCAGCCATTGATATTTTACATGATC